AAAATAATTTAATTAATTCAATATAAAAAATAAAAAAATTATTTAGTTTCGGTTCTTATTCGGTTCTTGGTCTAGACCCGAGACCCAACTCAAACCCGTCGGTTCTCGATTCGGGTACCCGTTCGGGTATTTAATTTATGAAGAACCGCTCGATTCGGTTCGGGTTCGGTTCGGTCCGGTTCGGTCCGGGACTTTTGGACACCCCTATAAGTAACCAAAAGAAGGTGGAAATGGTCCCATAAAATTGATTCTCCAACAATCAAATATTTCTATCACTAAAATGGGGTTCAAAGGCATCAACCAAGCTTTTGGCACCTCTCACAAGATCTACAATAGGCATTAGTATATTTAAAGAAAGGTGGCCAATAATTGATCTCGCATTAACTGTAATTGGTTTTTGGATTATATACAAAGTACTGTAATTTGAGCTGGTTGGAATTTTGTTGGCAACTGAATATAGTTTATCTGGAGACATATTAAAGAGGAAATATCTAGGCATAATCTGCTTTTGGTTAACAAAAAGAAAAATTTCCACTACTTGACTCTGCCTTGGGCTGTTATCTTCTCTGTACTTCAATATCTCTTCTTTTATCATTTACTTTTTACGTGATGAGTTCTCGAATAATGTTTTGCGGCGTGAGACTGAAAGGATATATGTTGTGCTGTCGCACTTCCTATTTATGCATTTTTTTAACCATATGGCATTTCCGGACTCGAAGATATTAGTATCCACTATACATACTAGTAGAAAAGCAATACCTGTTTTTTTTTTTTAACTGTTTTTGCCTTTCCATTAATCTAATAGTCACATTTTCGATGCCATGGTCTCATTGAAAAATTTTGTTTGATGCAGATCTACTTTCTTTTGAATATGCCTCTGACCAAGGACACACTGCTCTATTCTAATGTCAAGCTCGACTAGTTTTTCATGGAAGCTTTATTTTGTTATTTGAACTGCCAGGAGGTCGGGACTGCAGTCTTGTGAGATAAATTATTGTTTATCTGCTCTTTCTTCCCTTCGAAATTGGGAAATTCAATCTATATTTTCTGTGATTTTGTTCGATTCATTATCGGTGGTATGATCAAGCAGGACATGTAGCATATACCAAGGGGAGAAAAGCTCGGATTCTGGTGAGTGATATGTGTGTATCTGAGAGCTTAGGCTTTGAGTCTGTAATCTGATGCTCTTAATAATGCAAGCACAGAAGTGTTGTTTTTTTCGTATTTATATAATAAGGCGTTTGCTTGAACTTGTCGCTCTTTGGCATCGCCATTTGTTTCATTACTAACAAATCTGATAATCACATTTACTGATTAAATACACGAGGAGTCTTTGGAGACATGTTGAAGATCAATACATCTTGATGATGGAAATGGATATTGTCTTATTTTTATTACCTTCTATTATTTTTTAGGTGATTTTTCCATTTTGTTAAGAGTTTGAGGACCACGTTTGTAACTGTGATTAAATCGGAAATTAGATTTTGAGTGCTTATTTGAAGCACAAGTGTAGAGAGAGAGAGAGAGAGAGAGTTGGCTTTTTATGAATGAAATTTTGTGCAA